GGGGGGGGGAGGTAGATATTAAAGAGCTGTAATTCCTTAACCTTTCCCCCACTTGTGATGAAAATATATATACATTTAGGTCCATATATTTGGACACAGACACAATTTTTATCATTTTAGCTGTTGACCAAAACTTATTCAAGTTACAGTTATACAATGAATATGGGCTTAAAGTGAACACTCTTTAAGCACTTTTTTTCTTTTTTCATCACAATTGGAGGAAAGGTTAAGGAATTACAGCTCTGTAATATGTACTCCCCCCTTTTTCAAGAGACCATAAGTAATTGGACAGTTGACTCAAAAGCCATTTCATGGACAGATGTGGGCTAATCCTTTGTTATTTCTACATCAATTAAGCAGATAAAAGTTCTGGAGTTGATTCTAAGTGTGCTATATGCATTTGGAAGCTGTTGCTGTGAAGCATGACAATTGTTAGGCTTTAAAAAAAACAGATCCATCAGAGAGATAGCAGGAACATTAGGAGTGGCCAAATCAACAGTTTGGTACATTCTGAGAAAAAAGAACGCACTGGTGAGCTCAGCAACATAAAAAGGCCTGGACGTCCACGGAGGACAACAGTGGTGGATGATCAGAGGATCCTCTCCATGGTAAAGAAAACCCCTTTCTCAACATCCAGCCAAGAGAAGAACACTCTCCAGGAGTAAGGTGCGTCTCTGTCAAAGTCTACAATCAAAAGAAGACTTCACAAGAGCAAATACAGAGGGTTCACCACAAGGTGCAAACAAGGCCTGATTAGACTGGTCTAGATTAGACCTGATCAGACCACTTCTGCAAAAAGCAGTTTTTGGACGGCTGAATTTAAGATCAACCTGTACCAGAATGACGGGAAGAAAAAAGTATGGAGAAGGCTTGGTACAGCTCATGATCCAAAGCATATAACTTCATCTGTGAAACATGGTGGAGCAGTGTGATGGCATGAGCATGCGTGGCTTCCAGTGGCACTGGGTTACTGGTGTTTATTGATGACGTGACAGAAGACAGAAGCAGCCGGAAGAATTCTGAAGTGTATAGGGACATACTCTCTGCCCAGATTCAGTCAAATGAACTTTTTATTTATGATTATATTTATTTGTCCAATTACATTTAAGCCCCTGAAAATGGGGGACTGTGTATTTTATATATATATATATATAAACCCTGACTCTGGACCACAAAACCAGTCTTAAGTCACTTGGGTATATTTTTAGCAATAGCCAAAAAAACAAAATTATCGATTTTTATTTTATGCCAATAATCATTAGGATATTAAATAAAGATCATGTTCCATGAAGATGTTTTGTAAATTTCCTACCATAAATATAGCAAAACTTCATTTTTGATTAGCAATATGCATTGCTAAGAACTTAGTTTGGACAACTTTAAAGGCGATTTTCTCAATATTTTGATTGTTTTGCACGGTCAGATTCCAGATTTTCAAATAGTTGTATCTCGGCCAAATATGATCCTATCCTAACAAACCAAAGAATAAATGGAAAGCTTATTTATTCAGATTTCAGGTGATGTATAAATCTCAATTTAAAAAAATTTACTCTAATGACTGGTTTTGTAGTCCAGGGTCACATATATATATCTATGAGTGGTAGGTTTAGGGGTAGGGTTATTATGTCTGTGGGAAGACCTTATAAAACATGGAAACCTATGTGTGTGTATATAATAGCATGCACCTATGAATTGTTCAAAGTAAGGCCAGGAACATGCATTAAAAAATATCAACTTTGATTGTTGATCATGTTGACTTATGAATAATTTGTTCAGCTTCTACAGCTATAAGTCTTTACAAAAGCAGAGACATAAGATTGTTTCTTGGGAAATATAAAGTGTAGAAAATATAAGAGAAAATATAAATTTCTCATGCAGAGAATGTATGTTTTAGCAGGGTGATTGTAATATTATTGTTGATTTTATCATTGTATATAAATACAATGATACAAATGGTATCCGGTACTGGTATTACCATCCTGGTGCAGAGATTTGGTCCCCATAATGTAGGGAATACCAGTACGTGTAGACACACACACACACACACACACACACATTCACCCAATCCCCAGCCTGATTTCTGAACCTCACACTTTGAAGAAGTAGAAATATGAGAGGTTGTGTTCAAGGCATTTCACTTCAGAATACTTAAAAATGTAAGGAAGCACAACATGGGATTTGCTGAAGCTCTGTGAAATCAAAACTGACCTTTTAATGCACATTCCTGGAGTGATTCCTTTTCAGACGACATTAATTCCCATTTTTAACCACTCCTCTCCAAATACCTGACACATTCTGTTATGTGTTTTTCTCAATGAATATCTTGTTTCACTTTGAATGAAATTAATATACCAGATTACACATTATGGAAGCAAAATGGGTAGGGCAAACTATTTCATGTGGCCCGGTATGTCATGGAAATTAATTCCTTTCTATTGATGGGCGTTTAAAAATTGCAATTATTCCATTTAATTAAAGCAGATGTTTTTCCAACATCTGATTTTTGTGGAGGTTTCTTAAAAGCATGTTTTTTTTCTGCAGCTCCAGAGCAATTACTTACATTACATTTTTGGCTTCATCTCTCTTCTTTATGGTATTATGGACTGACCTCCTTGTTTAGAGAAAATTGCTTCCAAATGGTGATTCATGCTGACTTTAATTCATGGATGAAAGAGTTGAATGAGGAACGACTTTTATGTTGCGATTAAAAAAGCTAAATATATTAATTTCTATTAATATTTAATAGATATCTACCGTTCCGTTTGTAATTCCTATGAAAAATGGGGAACTGAGATTTGAAAGCAGAGTGAAATGAGGACGTGCCTTGGGAATGATAAAATCGTGACAGCACTAGAATACGGCGACAGCTAAATGCTCAGTGTTAAAGCCTGGAGGTTACGGCTTTGAACTGAAGGCTGTGGCCCAGAGGCCCTTGGATTCAGCTTCTCAGCCCCTTGAGGATGGCAGTATAGAAGGAAATATTAACTAGAGGCCTGACATTTTAAATCCTCATAGAGGCCGTCACCATTTCGTCCTCTAGCAGGATTCTTAACCCTTATTAGTTACCTCAAGGTTAGTAGAGACAACGGGAAGCTCGCACATTTACATTCTCTAAGGACTCGAGAAAACGCAGGGCTATAAATCAACATTTGAATGATGGTACCTGTTAGCAAGCATATAAAAGTCAAATGGAATTTGTACTGTCTGTGTTGCTCTATTTCTAACGCTCAGTCACACTGAATTGTTTAGTCCTGAATAAAACATGACTAGTGTGCATTTTTCTAGGATAAATCCATGCTAGCTTACCTATACAATTCGGGATGGTGTCATTCCACTGCGCCAGAGCATTAGGAACCGCGTGACACTTGATGGCTTTGGATCCCTGGAGAAGGTATCCAGGGTTGCACTCGAAACGAACAATGGAGCCAGCTGAGAATTCGGACCCGATCCGCCTGCCATATCTGGGCTCTGGGATGGAGCTGCACTGTGTATCACTGGTGCGTGGAACAGCTAGTGGACAGGAAACCGATCTCTAATCAAAATGGAAACTTGGAAACACACCGGCTCTATTTCAAAACCCAGTAAGCTGCCTTTACACTGTTACTAAACAAATCAAACAAATGCTGTTCTTTTGAACATAAAAACAATGCTAACATTTGACAAGGTTCCATTTTTTAACATTACTTAATTACGTTTGTTCGTGTGAGCTGAAACAATGAAAAATAATTCTAACTTTCATAGTTAATGTTCATTTCAACATTCATTAATACGTTGTAGCTGTATTTTTGTTAACTAACGTTAACTAAGATTACTACTAACTAATTAATTGAACTGAATCAATTTAAAGAGAGGTAACACTTTAGTTTAGGCACCAATTCTCACTGTTAACCAGTCACTTATTAGTATGCATATTACTAGCATATTGGCTGTTTATACGTACTTATAAAGCACATATTAATTCCTTATTCTGCATAACCTTATTTAAGATCCCTTAATCTACCCCATACATAAACTTAACAACTACATTACTAACTATTAATGAGCAGCAAATTAGGAGTTTACTGAGGCAAAAGTCATAATTAATAGTTAGGTAATAATGAGAATTGGTCCACAAACTAAAGCGTGACCAAAAAATACATAAATAAATAATTCACACAACACACAGAAGTCTCGACTCGAATAATCGAATACCATTTTTCCATTACCATGCTGCTAAAATAATGTCCATTTCTACTTTTGATTACGTAAAAACAAATACTTTTTTTTTTACTGAATTTTTCCATTTTTAATGAATTAAAAGCAAGTTTTTATAATAGCACCAATGTAGCTTTTGAAGACATTTGTAGCCATTGTATGGTTTCCAGTGCAGTGGTGTACACTGTGACTACTTTAGCACTCTTTTTATAGAAACCCCACATATATATATATATTTAATTACACATTTGTATGAGCGTCTTCATGACCCTAGCACAGAGAACTTTGCTGGTTTTGCTGTTTTTGCTTTGCGAACATTGTAGCAACTTGGTTCTTTTTTTTCCTCCTGTTTGTGCCTTAACTTTCATCTGACGGCTGTGAATATATAGGAAGAGGCTGGTGGGACCATCCACCATCATCTGAATGCCTCCATGAGCCCAATGAACTGTCCTAACTGTCAGAGAACATTTCTCATACACCCGCTGTTCTCTCTGTGCCCATTGCTGTACACTATAAAACGCCGAGGAGAGATATAAAGAGACATAGCAGGCTTGCTGCGGTCTGCGCTGTGTGTGTGTGTGTGTGTGTGTGCGTACGCTGATGCAGCCATGAAAGATTCCTATTGTATCTTTTTATAAGGCAGCTGATAAAGGGAGTTAAAAAGTGTCATTTATACAGTCATTTACGACATCTTTTAAAACGAGGGAAAACGCATGTCCTGTCCCACGCTGATGCTGTCTGGGGAGTTTGACATGTCAGGGGTCACTTAAAGGAATGGTTCACCTAAAAATAATTTACTCACTCCAGTGTCACCCCCAAAAATAATATACCCAATTAATGTTAGTAACTAACATTAACTAACAATGAGTAATACATTTGTAACAGTATTTATTTATCTTAACATTAATGTTAGTTATTAAAACACAGCTGTTCATTGTTAGTCCAAGTTAGCTCAGGTCCATTAACTAACATTAATAGAAAATATACTTTTAATTTGAATGTATTAGGAGCTGTTAAAATCAACATTACCTAAAATGAATAAATGCTTTAGAGATATTTGTCATTGCTAGTTTATGTTAACTAATGTAGTCAACATTACATTAGTATTAATATTAGCAAATGGAACATTTAATTGGGTGTAACACTTTAGTTTAAGGATCAATTCTCAGTATAAACTAGCTTATTAACATGCATATTACTAACATAAGGCTGTTTATTAGTACTTACAAAGCCTTATTTTTAACATTTTCGTATAGGGACCAATTCTCACTATTAACTAGTTGCTTATTAGCATGTCTATTATTAGCATATTGGCTGTTCATTAGCACTTATAAAGCACATATTCTGCATGACCATATTCTACATCCCTAATCCTACCCAATACCTAAACTTAACAACTACCTTACTAACTATTAATAAGCAGCAAATTAGGAGTTTATTGAAGTCGTAGTTAATGGTTTGTTAATAGCGAGAATTGGACCTTAAAATAAAGTCTGACAACCTTATTCATATGAAATATTATATACAGTAGCTCTGAAATCAAACCAAAGTGGCAAAAAAAAAAATGGAAGAAAAAAACTGGCAACAAGGCAACTCTCAAAATTCTCATGAGAATAGCACAGAAATCATTCTCCCATTCGGCTCTACTCAGAGCTAAATGCATTACAAATTATATCAAATTCAAGCCCCTTTCTTCATTTGACTCTATTGTGTATTGGTTATGACATTGTGATTGCGGCTGTTAACTTCTCTGTGTGAAATATAAAGGCTATTTCCCAAAGTAAGCGGGCTCAGGCATACTGATCAGCAGGCCGCCCCTGCACTTCAGAGGCGGGATTTCACCCTATACACGGAGCCAATATATACACACCAAAGGCTAACTGAATGTTTCGGATTTGAAGATTAAAAACAAAGCCTCTGATCTGCACAATGACCTGTTATTGACTGAAAGTTGAGTGCTCGCTTACCTTGGTAAACAAAATGGAATCCTTTGGCGGACGGGTCACTTTTTGCGCTGAATCTCAACATGATTTGGTTTGAAGTGCCCAAGGGCAATGTTTCTCCTGCAAAAACACAATATGGCAGATGTTGAAGTCTCTTAGAGTTGCTTGTGGAGGCAAATGTGCTGCCTGCAACCAACTGTAGTCTTAAGGTAGCGTACATGACGGATGGCTTAATAACTCGGATCAGCCTCCGGGGCAAGGGTAGAGAGAGCAGGTCAGCAACAATGGCCCTAAAACTGATGGATACCCAAAGAAATACTCAAGCTGTCAGAGATGCAGTGGGTAAATTAAAAAATAAATAAATAAAAAATCCCCAACCGTAAGGATGACTTACCCTTGAGCTAAACTTTGAGCGTTCAGATCCAAAATCAAAGTGTATTTTTACAAAGTTGCATCCAAAGGAAGAAACACAGTGCTGATATAGATGGCGACTGAAACACTACAGTTGAGCCTGGAGGGTTAAACACTCTAACTATGAATTGAGTGGCCTGTCAGGATTTCTGGCCCACTGCTCACAAAGCTGAGATAGAAATTATATGAATTTACAGCGCTTCTCATGGGAATATAGTGTTGCACAGCAGACCATGAAGATATACAGTATAAAAATGCCATACAAACAGTTTGTGTCCAATGGCCACCATCAATCCTGCGAAGACTGTGGAATTAGCAGTGATTTTCGTTTTCTTGCCATTTTATTACCTTTCACTCAATAATACCAACAATAATTCAGCAGGAAGCCGCAAGGATAACATTTTCTTTTTAGATGGAATTAAACAAGCCTGGAACCAAAGGATGAAAATGACAACATAGATCCGAGATTTAAGATTTATTCTTGATATAAATACAGTGGGCCCAACAAATATGGCACACTTAAACCTCAGTTGAAAATGTATGAATGCTAATGAATAAATAAAAGAAAGAAAAAATGTATTAAAAGGCATTGTTCTATGCCATTGTGTTGTGTAATGCAATGGCATTCAGACTTTTCAGTCAGTATAATTTAATTTACTTCATAGAGCATTTAGCGAATAAGAATTTGGGCCGTTTTGTTGGAAGAAAAAGACTGCTAACTAGCATATACTGTAAATACTCCAAAAGCCATATGAGACATGGAACTAATTTAATTTGATCTTTCAGGGTGATGTACATGTCCAAATATGTATTTGTTTTATGAACATATTATTTGCAAAAGTAGACTTCATTTGCCTGAGGCTGAGTAAGTGCTTGCTCACTGTCTGTGTAAATAACAGAAATTTCAAACAATAAAAAACAAATACAAAACTATTAGCAAACGCTTGCCAAAAATGACACTCCTTCTGTATTTCCCCCTCTGAAAGGAGCCATTAAACCTCACTTGAGACCTCGTTCACTGCTTAATTGTCTTTTCACAGATTTAAAAAGCCATATATGCCTGTTTGGCTCTTTTCAAAGGGTTCTGTGCATTTCAAAGCAAACTCAAAGCAACAAAACTGGGGTGAATGTAAAGCTATTACTTACCGGAATGAGACCCAGCCAGGGAGCTTAGCAGCCTAGAATTCTGATTGGGCCCATCAAATAGCTCAACAGAGTCGTTCATGGCTGTCTGGAAATAGGCAAATTGCCCAAACACCACTGAGGAAACAAAATGAAATGCGCAGAGCGTGTTACTATCACCACTGCTGAGAGGAGATGCTAACAAAAGAAGTACAATGAATGAAGACACATCAATTTCCCATCGACACACATGATTCAGGTCGATGGTTTTATAAGTGTTCATAATAAGCAGTCTGCACAGAAGTATGTATAGTCCCATCAAAATAGCACATGATATTCAATTCATTATAATAGAAACCGTGCCATGAAATTGTGAATAAAATGCACGTACTGTAAACCCATAGCGCAGAACATCGTTTTTAATACTGCAGCAGCTCTGTTCTAAAAACAATGACCTATGTAGGAATTAAGTTGCAAATCGTGAGCTGGTTCTTTGCTTGTGATTCACAAACAAATGACTGAACTGGATCTTTTTAAATCAGTGTATTTACTGAACTTCTTGTTCAAATAACAACATATAGCTATATATAGATAAAGAATCAAGTAATGTTTAGATTAAAGTACTATAGTGTTACCGTCTTTGTACTCTTAATACCTAAAATCATGAAGCTCTGTCTGTAATGCATGCATTATGTGTATGTTTGGTCCCTTCTGGTGTCCATTCCCTCTGACCTGAGACCAGTGATGAAGCTGTGATTAAACGCGTTGGCTTGCCAGAAAGGACACACGGTAGGGCATGAGAGACCAGGGAAATCACAGAGACATGCTGTGCATGTCAGGTGCTGGTGTGAGAGCCAGCTAAGCAGAGAGGGGTGGAAAGGGTCACCCGGGCCATTGTGACGACTCTATTATCTCCTCTGTAATGAGATGTCGGCCCTCGCTTCATACTGCTAGTGGCTCTGTAAATATTACTTTGACTGGATTTCTTTTGGCCCACAAACACTTCAACAAACTTCAAATGTTAAAGCTTTACTTACACTCCTATTTGCTACTCATGAACTGCAAGGATTTGCAATGGATTTAGTAAACTGTGGTTTTGTGCAGTTGTGGATATGGAGTATGGCCAAAAATATATTTCAGCTACCCGCATTAAATGTTATTTCTGTATATAAAGGAACATTATACATATACATACTTTCATAGTATATTTTTTTCTTTCTTTCTTTCTTTCTTTCTTTCTTTCTTTCTTTCTTTCTTTCTTTCTTTCTTAATTTACATTATAGTGCTCAAATGTATTTAGGAGATATTTAGGATATTTCAGGAAGGAGATTAGACTATGGTAAGTGGCGCAATATTCAATTATTAAGCCATTTCGTAACAAACTAACATTCTGAAGTCGTGGTGCATGTTACTACAAGTTATAGATACTGTTCATGATTTCTCCTGAATGTTAACAGAATTGTAGATAATGTTTGCTAATGTAGTTCTATCTTATGAATAACCAAGTGAACATCTTGCCGAGTAAGACTACTAATATAGCTGACTGAGTTGAGATTAGATGCTAACTAATCAATTAGGTTAGCTATTGCATCATCCAAGACTGCAGGTGTTAGCTAACTACGTATGTGTTGAAAACGTTTACCTTTCACATAACTATACTTCTTCATATTACCTTAAAACAGGGAGACGTTTAATGTAAATGTGAGAACTTTGTGCATTTCCTTTGAGTTTATGTTTTCTGCTTTATTATTAATTCAATGCAATTAATTATTGATTCACACTGTGTGTGTGTGTGTGTGTGTGTGTGTGTTGTTTTGGCAGGAAGAGTTTTACATCAGTTTATATCTACAGGCTGAGGACTCACCACCTGAATGAAGTGGATTATTCGAGGTAATTGAGTACTCCAATAACTCTATAAACTGAACCGTGACCTTTGTAAGTAACTTTATTTACTTACCAAATTCTCCAGACACTGTGATGTGGTAGGAGCAGGTCTTGCCTGTCGTGTAGTTGAGAGGGTAATTTGGGGATACTACCACTCCCTCTGATCCAGTGTACTGCCCACCGCATGGTGCTGAAAAGAAAGAAACAACTCTAATGGTTCATATTTTTTCTTGTTCAGTCCATATGACACAAGGTAATGAAGTAATTTTAGTACTGTATTAGATACATGATGACTAGTGAGGCTAAGGGAGCTCTCCAGATTTTAAAAAAAAAAGAGGAAGAGAAGAGGAAACTACAAGCAAAGTAATTTTTTTCATTATGATGGGTCAGTGTAATCTAAAAAAAAATGTACTTTGCTGTTGTGCTTTCAGGAGTCAATTTGTCACATGGCTGAGTGTCACAGACTCTGTTTCATGTCCACATTCTGTGTGCTTAAGGTACGTTCTAATCCCCCGATAGAGCACTTCCAAAGTCAATATTTGGCCAATATAATTTAATAAATCGTAAAAGAATTAAGTGTGCATAAGTGTATCAATCCACAGGAAGTGAACAGTGTGATTCAACAATTGCATACTACTATAATACTACACAAAGTTTGGCTAAAATAAACTATTATGAATCATTTTATGTTAATTTACATATATACTAATATATATTTTTACATAAGCACACCTAGATACATTACATATATGAAAGTATGGTCATTTGCATAATATTTATATAAAGTTAGGCTAAATAATCTAATACAGTAATACTAAAAATAAAAGTCACATTAAATTAAATTTTCAATTTTATATAAACACACACGGATATATATTATATGCATATAATACTGTATGAAAGTATGGTTATTTACATTATATTTATTTAAATTATCATATCATTATATTTAAAACTGTTAGTGTGCATGACTCAATCGTTTGAGGACGTTGTAGGGCATTACAAATGAATGAATTATGCCAAGCAAAATGAGCTTCAACAGAAATTCCCTGCTGAGTGTGTAGGGAGCAAAAATCACGATTGCAAGGAAGACCTTATTTAAAAAGAAGGCGCTGTTTGAATAACAGATGAGTGGAGTAATTACCAGAGGAAATTAAAAAAAGAAAGGAAAAGCAGTTTTGACTGACATACTTTGAAACACTGCTGTTTTTAACAATAGATCACTGTACATCAAACATAAATCACATCAAAGACAGAAGTAGCTCTCCCTAATAACAACTCAACAGTAATCACAATTCAGGTCCAGTGGGTGTAGGTATTGTGTGGACTTGTACAAGCTAATGACACCAGATCATTGCATCCTGCAGCAAGTGGTTCGCTTAACTCCTAAACATTTATTAGAGCAAGAAAGTCAATAACAAGATATTGGAAAATGCGCATACCTTTACACAAGCAGGGTTAATTTGCTTAGGCTTAACATTGATTGCACAAACCAGCTTTATGGTAGCGCTACTAGAATAGCCTACAATTAACACATCATGCAAACCTCGTAGAAAGGCTATTGGAATTGCTATAGCCTCTGACAGGTATTTTAGTAAAACTGATTCGTAATTCAGGTTTGAGCGCAAAGAGGGAGTATTGAGGAGGAGCAGCCAATGAAGACTATAAATCATCTGTGTGTTGGTGCATTGGCGTGTGTTCTCTCTTTATCAGGCCAATAATGGGTAGAGGCTAAATGCTTAGGTGTTTGACTGTGCATGACAAGAAATAAAACAACAACAAAAAATAAGTGAAATTCAACCACAAAGGTCAGCAAGAGGATTATTGACAGTGCCAAGTGTAAAATTGGAGGCTAAGAAGGTCAGCGAAGAGTATTTGCGGAGAAATTAATCAATGTCAGTGCTTCTGTCACACCTGGCCCATAGCGTATGACCTTGTAACCAATGGACCACCTGTGATAAGCAGTGTTGGGGAACTCCACTTTTAGAAGTTATTATAAGAAATCAGACAATATTTTGGCATTTAGAGATAACAGTGCCTGCTTGGCCAATTAACAGAAGTGCTACCCACCCCCATATCAGTTCCAACATCTCAGCAAAAGTTATTTATTTTTCAGACAAAATGTGTGTAACAGGAGTTTATAAGTGTATAAATGTCACGCATGTCATTTTATCATTCATTTATATGTACATTATCTCAGTGTAATACATCCTGCTCTCTAAACGTTGGCCATCAATAAACCAATATCAGTTGACTACACTGTAAGAAACTACTGACTGTGAAATTCACAGTAATTAACTGGCAGCAAGTGACAAGTAACTTACTGTAGAAAAGAACTACAGTAATTAACTGGCAGCTAGTGACAAGTAACTTACTGTAGAAGAAATAACCATATTTTCACTGTTTTCATTTACAGTAGCAACCATGTAACTGCAAAGTAAAACTCACTAATTTGCCAGTGCAACCTTTTTTTTGCGCTTATTACACAGGACAGTGTAGCGATTGGTGGGGAAGGTGATCAGCAAAGGACCTTAAGCCAGGAATCGAACATGGGTCGCCAGAGACAAAGTTGCACTATATGTCAGTGCGCTAACCACTAGACTATCGGTACCAACAGGTTCCATTGCTGTTTAGTTATATTGGTTCAGCCAAACAAACAAACAAAAAAAGAATATTAATTAAATAATGCATGTTGCACGATTAAAATATAAATATTCATTTATCAACAGTCACAGTTAACTGCTCATCATTATTACAAGCTACATTTATCATTCTTCACTTATTGCTAGATGTGTTGAAAACAATAAAATACTGATGACCTTCTGGTCATTGTTTTTATTTATTAAATTTTTTTATTAAAGAATACATTTGCTTCCTGTATTCTCTATTCAAACCTAAAATGTAATTGAATTACAATGAGGTCATATTAAATGAGGTCATTGGCTGGAAACCCAGCTGCCAGTTTAGGCCACTATGTTTTCCTTCTCTATCCCAGCGGCTGGGTTTCAGAAAACCCTAGTGTATGGCAATACGGTGAAATCACGTTCTGGGGGGTGAATTTATGATTATGATTCTGAAATTAAAATAATATGATAATAATTAAAAGTTTGTATGAAGCAGTATAATGGGCTGTTTTTGTACAGGTAAAATAACTGGAAGCGAAAGACACCAGAAGCCAAACACATTCAAGTTACAAATAGTCGCGCCTGCTCTCTTGTGAAAACTAAGCTGGATATAAATAATATCCATTATTTTTTTACAGCACATTGCTGGTTACTGTAATTTTCTACAGTACATAATTGCTTGTTGTGTTTTCTACAATACATTGGTAATTACTGTGATTTTCTACAGTACATTGGAAGTTACTGTGATTTTCTACAAGATATTGCTGGTTACTGTGACACTCACAGTACTTCTTACATTACTGCAATTTTGACTGAAACTACGGTATTCTACTGTGAACTAATATACAGTAATTTCCTGTGCACAAACATAGCCATTAAAATAGCCATTCATTACCAGGCCTATGTGAAATCTGCAGATACACTGCACTGACTTGAGGAAAATCTATGCAATTCTGTAGTGGAGATTTAAATATGATAAAATGTGATAAATTTAATTGAGATTGTTAACCTCTCATTGTCAGCTAAAATCATAATAAATTAGACAAAATATGTAATAAAGGAGTACGCAAGAAGCCATGGATTTGTAGAGCTAGAGGGCGCAGAACCCATGCAATCATGCTCACTTTATTACACTGTTATTCTAAGCCACCTTATTTTTAAGTAAGAGTGATTATTACCCATTTTTACCTTAAAGGTGCAAGACTTGGGGCAAGGTTTACAAAACAAGGCAAATTAGCACAAAAGCGCAATTCCAAGAAATTGTCAAGCACAAAATCGGTTAAGACATGCTTTTTTGGGTGGTAAATAACGGCGCAAATACCAGTAAATTGACTACCACAAACCTTTGTAATCATGATGTGTGATTCATTTAAATATTCTCCTCCCATAAATTTTGCGTCTGAAAGGGAAAGACCTACAAATGCTTATGCAATAAGGTCAGCCACAAAAATGACTGTCCACAACTTTTCATTGCTCATTTTTCACTGCGTATTTTTAGTAAATCCTGACAGTAGTATTTTAACGCCAAAAGAGGGCTTGCATTGGTACGAGATGTTAGTAAATATGTCCCTTGGTGTCAGATGTTTCCGGTTATTTTAGCTGTACAAAAGCAGTCCGTTATGATACTGGATATTGCTAACTGGTATGTGTTATTATATTATTTTAACTTATTGTCATAACCGTAAGCACACAAGTAGCACAAATAGTTATATAGTTTATTGCACTTTGTTATTCTTCTAGTTATTTACCTATAGCATCTAATAAATGAAAACTCTCACACATTCACACATTCACAGGAAATAGCTTATCATTGGTTGAAAATCAAGGTGGGTTCTTCTAGTTATTTACCTATAGCATCTAATAAATGAAAACTCTCACACATTCACAGGAAATAGCTTATCATTGGTTGAAAATCAAGGTGGGAAAAAAACTGATACTTTCATGGCACATTGAAATCAACTTGAAATTTAGATTGCGATCATCCTTCCTTGTTTATAATGCTGTATATCCGAGTTAAATGGCTTCTCGAATGAGAAGGAAAAAAACACACTTCCACACTTTAATATGTAGCCTGTATATCTCAGGCTAGTTACACCATCTAGATACATTTGACTTTTAAGATAAAAAAGGGCAAAAATTAAAATAACAAAAAATTAAATTTAAATACATTTTGGTCACACTAGTTTGGTCACACTTTCTAATTCAGAAAGTCCTCACTAAAATGAAATCTGATTACATAAAATGTTATTTGTAAAACACCCTTCCCGAGAGCCACTAACTGTGACGAACAGCAAAAGAGCATGAGGTTAGAACTAAACAAGTTCTCTGTGTACCTAAACCCTGGCATAACTCAGCTCGTATTTGCCTTTATCTCCATGCCAACATGTAACCTGGCCTTCCAAAATCACAGTCCACGCCACCTGTGATCTCTCTGCTCTGGCTGTGTTCCTTTCATCCCTCAGGTCTCAGTAACAATGATCTTCAATTGAGATTCCTCGCACATCAGTCCCATGCTAAAGCTTCTGGGCTCTGGCACCCATAGGTCTGTTGCTTCATCTGCCTCACA